TCCTCATTTGCAAAACCGGATCAATAAGGAAAGTTTCAAGTAGTAACATGTATTTCTCACTGGGTTGCAATACTCTGGAGTTGTCACTTTTGCTTGAATGTGTTCCTATATTCCAGAGCTACTGGAGACATTTAGCTGTCTCTGGGTATCTGTATTTCTGAATATCTTGCTATCCATGTGGCTTTAAATTTTCTGAATATCCTCTTTTTCATCAATACTTCTACATAATCTTGCTGAATGAAGCACCTTTAATCTCTGCATACTTCCAGTGACTCCAGTCCTTTTCTTTTTTTTTCATTTGGGATCTATGACCCATCTGACCTCATTTCAAAATCTAAGCTACTAAAACACGGAGTTTGTTCTCTCTTTCTCTCTCTCTACACACACAGACACATACTCTTCAGGTCTCTTAGAATTGTTTAGTCTTAACTACAATTTTTTCCCCAAATAATTTGTTTATCAAAGATACATTTTCTATAATAAGGTACATTAATTTGCTATGTAATATAAAAAAGTAAATGTTGATTTAATGTAAATAATGCATTCAATAAAATAAAATTGATAATTTATCACTTAGATAATAAAAAATACATATGGTCTATAAATTACTAAATTATTACCCATAATAAATATAAGATATGTAGTCGATATTCATTACACACGGATTCTCATTATTTGTGAAGCTGCCTATTTGTTAAAATTCACTGGTAACCCCAATGTTTTCACAGTCATTTGTGAACACGTACAGAGTCGCAAAAATTTGGCCTGCTTGACATTCACATACCCCGTTAGAGCTGAACAAGGAAACACTGTTTTCTTGTTTCAACTCTCATACAATAAACAAATGTCTCATTTGTAGTCTATTAAGTGCCACATATTTTGCATTTTTGTGCTACTGGTTGGTGACTTTGCTGTTTAAAATGCCCCCCAACTCCCAGAAATGTTGTCGAGTTCCTACGCACAGAAGGCTACATGCACTGAGCCTTACAAAGAAAACACGTGTGAGATAAGCTTTGCTCAAGCTTGAGCTACAGTGCTCTTGGCCATGAGCTCAATGTTAATGAATCAACAGTACGTATTAAATAAGGTGTCTTTAACCTGAAACACACATAAAACAAGATCATGTATTGATTGGTGGATGAGACCATTGTGACCAGAGACTTGCAGGAAACTAACCTTACTGTGCTTCCCGCTAGGAGCAATTTGTTCAGTGTTTTCTAATCCAGTATTTCTGGTTACTTTACAGAACATAACTACTGCAAACAATGAGAATGGATAGGGTGTGTGTGTGTGTGTGTGGTGTGTGTGTGTGTGCACGCGTGCTTCTTAAAGCTTCAAAGGCTAGAGATGTTTATCAACCTATCACTGTCTAATTTCAGAATGAAACTTTCTATAACATGTGTATGTGTATATCTCCGGATGCATTTATGGGAACATACAATTCACAGGTTTGCAGTGGTGGATTGTTACATAAATCTCACTCACAATCCAACCTATCCAAGCTGCAAACAAAATAATAAAGCATTTTGGCACTGGAATTCATATCTTACACTTGTAAAGTCTTCTCTTTTTTTCTCTGTAAAGTCCTCTCACATTTGTCATGCTTAATTCTCACGTACCAGAGTTGCCAGTGCATACTAAAGTTTGAGAACCATGAAGTCTAAAACAGTGATTCCCAAACCTAAAGACACATAAGAATCATTTCGGAAGATCCATGATGATATGTTTTCCATTGACCCACCTCAGTGGTTGCTCTGGATCAGAACCACCTGCAGTGCTGTCTGGGCATTCGTACTGTCCAGGCAGGAGAGCTTCATTGAGAAGACACATATGTAGGAACCACCATTTGTTTTGGGTTGTTTTCGTGTATGGGGCAATGCCTTCAATGGTTGTGAGATAAATGGAAGCCACCAAGTGTGTTAAATGAAAAACCTTTGAAGATACATTCTATAGCAATTTCTGCCAAAATATGTGTTGGCACAGAGTTTGCCACCACCTGCAGTTTTTAGAACTACACATTCATTACTATCAAGAAGCGGTTGCTCCCAAATTCAAATGCCTCCCCAGAATCTTGTTTGAATGTGGAAAAACAGACATCTCAAACTCAAAAAAAAAAAAAAAAAAAGTGTAAAACAGAGCTTATGATCTTTCTCTTAAACCTTGTCTGATCGCATCTTAAATAACGACAGTCCAAACACTCAATGGCCCAGGGCAAAAACTGCGTGGTTACTTTTGGCTTTTTGTTTTCTCACATATCATAGGTATGCAAAGAGAAAAATCTAACACCTTTCCTCCATCTACATTGCTATTCTCTGGTACAATCAGTACTGGATTTTTGCATTACTTGAAACGGTCTCCCAACTCTTATAAAGTACGGTATGCGCAGTCTCCTCACTCCTTTCCACCCCTGCTCCTGAAGAAGCATTCCCTAACCCAGGAGCAGTTGCAATCCAATTAAAGGAAGTTAGATTGCATCCCACCATTTCTTAAAACGCCTCAGTGTCTTCTCATCTCATTTCAGAGTGAAAAACCAAAGGTCTTACAACATTGCCATGAAGCCCATACTCTTCCCCTCCCCATCCTACTTGACTCTCTCCTCTCTTCCTACTCCCCACTTACTCACCATCCTCCCGCTACCCTAGGTTTGCTGCTGTTTTCTGAACACACCTGGTAAGATTACCTGTCTTAGAACTTGGCAGTTTCTGTTTACTCTGCCTGAAAGATAAGTTCCCCAATTTTTAGTACCAAATCTCCCTTTGCAACACCCTCTGCCTCAAGGTATAATGATACTGCCCTTTTCCTTTGGTTTTGCTCTATAAAATACTGACTTCTAACACAGCACTCGGCTACACTGATCTCAGCTCAAAGTAACTTTCAGCAAATGATAAGGTTCTACGTCTACAACGATACCCTCCATACTAGCCACGGGAGGCTATAAAGCAGTTAAAATGCAGCCAGAGAGACTGAGAAAGTAAACTCAAAAAAAGAAAAATGGAGATGGGGTCTCACTATGTTGCCCAGGCCGGTCTCGAACTCCTAGGCTCAAATGATGCCCTGCCTTGGCTTCTCAAAGTGCTGAGATTACAGGTGTGAGCCACTGCACCTGGCTGTAATTTAATCCTATTTTAGTTAAATTTTTAAATTTAAGTTTAAATTTTTAAAATGCAGTAATTTTGTTTTGTAATTAATTTTAATTAAATTAGAATTTAAATAGGTACTGGCTAGTGGCTACCATGTTGGACAGCACAGTTCATCTAGAATCTATTGCGTGTGTGTGTGTGTGTGTGTGTGTGTGTGTGTGTGATGAGGAAGAGATCAATACTCCTTTTATTGACATTTAAGTACAATTTCCAGAGCACCACTGGTTGAAAAGACCATATTTCCTTCATTACATATCAATGCCACCTTGGTCATAAATCAATTATCCATAAAAGAGTGAGTCTGTTTGTAAATTCCCTATTTTGTTTTTATTGGCTTATTTATCTTTGTGACAGCTATATACAGCTTTACATAGCTATCCGTATAATGCCTATATCTATCTAGTAGAGTTGAATCCTTCAAATTTGTTCTTCAAGATTGACTTGGTTCTTCTTGCCTCTTCGTATTTACTCATGAATTTTAGAATATGCTTGTTGATTTTCACCAAAATAATCACACCAACCTATAAACAAACACCCTGCTTGAGTTTTAATTTAGGTTTGCACTGAATCAATATCTAGTTTGGAAGAACTGATATTATACAATATTGAGTCTTCTAATCAATGAACTTTTTTTTTTGCTTTTTTGTTTTTTGTTTTTTGGGTTTTTTTGAGATGGAGTCTCACTCTGTCGCCAGGCTGGAGTTCAGTGGCACAATCCCAGCTCAATGCAACCTCCACCTGCTGGGTTCAAGCAATTTTCCTGCCTCAGCCTCCTGAGTAGCTGGGATTACAAGCGCGTGCCACACCCAGCTAATTTTTGTATTTTTAGTAGAGACGAGATTTTGCCATGTTGGCCAGGATGGTCTCCACCTGCCTTGGCCTCCCAAAGTGCTGGGATTACAGGCATGATCAATGAACATTTTATATTCCTCCATTTATTTAGGATATTAGTTCATCTAAAGGGCATTTTATACTTATCTGTGTACAAACCTTGTACATCTTTCATTAGATTTACTACCATGTGTTTGAGGCATTTTGTGCTATTGAAAATATGATCTCCTAAAAGTTTATTTTCTAATTGTTATTGCTGATATACAAAAATAAAATTAATTGTGTTAATTGTTCAATGGCAATCCTAATCTTAATAGTTTATCTGTAAATTGTTTAGAGTATTTTAATACGTAACCTGATTATCTATGAATAATGAGAATCTTAGTCTTTTTTTCCCCCAATACTTATGTTTTTCATTTCTTTCTCTTCCTTTATTTCACTGTCTAGGACCTCCAATACAATGGTGATGAGAATGGTATTAAAGGCGGTAACAGGAAAAGCTTTCAAATTCCACTGTAAACTAATATATGCTATAAGGTTTTCTGGTCTTCATCAAAATACGGCAACTTCCTTCTATTGGCAATTTGTTGAGTGTTTTAAATTATGGATGAATACTGCATTTAATCAAACACATTTCCCATGTTTATTAATTTCTATGTAAATTCATGTAAGTAAAGAATTCCAGAAGATGTAAACTTTATGTTTACATACATTTAAAAAGTAAATATTCTGCAAAGTTTTACATGTATCAATCTTCTCCCAGAAATAATCTATCCTTTTTGTTTGGGGACATAATTGGAAACATTTATTATTAGATGTTTTACACGGATGCCACGTGCATTAAAAAAGATATTTAAAGTCATTACCATTTAACTATTTTTTTAAGATTTATGTTCAGTTTTTCTAAGGAACAATACACATTTTAATCAAGTTGCAAATTAGGTCAACATTCTGCTGGTTTCATTTTAATTTTGCATATTTAAAACATGCATGCAAATTTAACTACAAAATAAAAGCTGATTAACTCACCGGTCATATTGCAATATAGAAGAAATGGTTCCAGGGGACCACTTCCATCTGAATCTATATAGTAAAACCCTGAAGTATTTCCTCTGTGCTTATAGGCTTCACATGACTGCTCATAGATAGCTTTAAAAAAAAAAATCATTAATGGAATAGCATGAAATGAATCTCAGCTTTTATTTTGGACATGAAATACTGCAAGTCTTGAAATTTAATATGTACATTACTGACCAGAAGAAAAGGCAAAACTTACTTTAAAACAAAACTCATTCTTTTATAAAATTAACATAGATGAAAGTGATTTGATAGAAAAAATGAGGTTGATTTTATGACTTTTTAAAATCACTAAATGAAAATGAAATCACTTGGTCAAAACCAAAATTAAGCCACTTTGACATTCTGAAGAACAAGGAAAGAGAAGGTAGGTGTTTAAATGTTAGAGCCTTGTAAGTATAACATCGTAACTTATCTTGCGGCACATATTTCGGAATTTCTAATTCTAGTAGCACCTTGTAATAACCTAATGTCTGAAGCACAACAGTGTAACCTCCTTAAATAATCTGCTGTTAGCCAATAATTATACAATAGAAACATTTTAAATCATGTTATAACTATACTCCATTCTCACAGAAAATTAACTATAGATAAAATATTTTTTCACAAAACAAATGTGATTCACAAAGCTCCTCACCAATAATTTCTAGAGTAATTTATGAAAGAAACTCCCACCAATGCCATAACGAGAATTCAAGATAATTAAAATTCAAAGCAGAAGAAATACTTGTATGAACTATGCCCTCAAGTGGTTTCAATGTGTTTAGATCCATAATCAGATGTTTGGATATTTTTAATTATATAATCCTAAATTTGCTATGTACAAAGTTTCATATCAACACTTGTGTATAATGCACACCTCTCATTGAACACTTGGCCAATTATACCAATAGCTTCTGTTAAGTATTTTATTCTGTGAAATGAGAAATAAACAATCCCCTGAATATTTGCCCCTGAATCTATTTTAGTTTTGAAAATTATGTTAATGAGTGTTTAGACAACGTGAAATACTATGGCTAATTTGTTCTATGTTACCAAAATTTCAAGTAATCATGTAAATTTACTTCCACCCTTCTCCACAGTATGATGGTTTTATTTTGTTCCTACTATATATCATGCTGATAGAGATATAAGCATGGTTCATTTTCCAGTCACATTTGCATTTTGTGCACTGACGTGGGTATGTAAAAATGACTAGTTTATACATTTCGATGTACACACGCATATGTTCATAAAGTCCTTGAAAGAGTTTGGCAGAATATCCTAACTTTGTGGTGGGACTGGTTGTGGAAAAGGATTGGATAAGAATGGAAGGACTTCTGAATTAAGAGTATGGCATGACTTTTTATAGCATGACTGTTGATTTATGTGTATGGCTTGACTTTTTATAACATGGCTGTTTACTGATTATTTCCTAATAAGGCTTCGTAGCAAACTCCATCTCCTGCCCTCCGCTATTGCCAAGACTGTCGTTCTGGCTCCATTTCTCAGAATAGTTACGGGCAAAAACCCTTCTACTCTATTAGAGCCGTCTTCTCAAGAACCTAATAAATTAAACTCAATTATTGGATCAAATTGTGGGTCACAGATGAAAGTAACTCTATTTATTATCTAATTTTTGTCTTCAGAGTTGTTTGGTTTATATTTAGATTCAGACACTGATAACAATTAAAATGAATAGTCAATGAAAACACTGAATAGCTTTCTGTTTTGAGTTAGTTACTACATAGGGATAATGGAGGATATAAAGAATTAAAATATACTGTCCCTCCACTAGCTAGGTGTCCTGGGTCAAATAACTTGGCATGTGGGTACAGGTGAGGTATTAGATTCTGGGTACAGGTGAAGTGTGGCTTTATTACCAGCTAATATTCTTCATAAAAATCTTATGAGGCACCTCAATATACACAATTCATGCCCAGGAATGACTCCAGCAATAGTGGTAGAGCTGGGAGATTCTCTTGGTGATGTCCTCCCCAGCCCCAAATCAGGGCTTCTGAGGGTCCTCTGTGCAGGCCGCCAGAGCTGGGAGCCCAGGATTCCAATCTCAACTCTGGCAGGAGCACAGTGTAATAGACAAAGGGTGGTGAGACTGATGGCTTTATACCTAACACCCACGTCTTAAATCAAGGATATAGGAGGTAGTATTACTTCAGTTGCTCAGAAATGTCAGTAATAATCAGAAAAAATGGCAGAAAAATGGGCATTTTGGTCTTCCCATTTGTGCCCCGGAACAATTGGACAATGAAATAACATGAGCCTCACAACATATGCAAGCCATTTGATCAGAAAAAAAAATTCATGATTCGTAATATAGGAAAAAAGGGATATTGGTTGTTATCCCAGGCTCTAGAAGATGATGTCACATGTCCACATCCTCACTCTGCCTCAACTATTTTAAGTAGCCTTGAACAAGTAGATTAATACCTATTTCTTTATAAGTAAGTTGCCTATAATAGTATTCACCTACTAGGGTGACCATCAGAATTAAACGAGCTAGGACGTATAAAATCTTGGATCAGTACCTGGCATTTAGAAAGCATTGAATAACATTAACTATCTACCACCAAAATTTAATCATTATCTACCACCCTTTTCCTGATCACCCTCATCAAATAGGGTTGCAAGATAATATAAGGATTATCTGTGCAACAGACTGAAGGTTTGTGTCCTCTCAAAACATATATGTTGAAACTTAGTCCCCAGTATGGTGGTATTTGGAGGTAGGGCCTTAGTGAAGTGATTAGGCCATGAGAGTGAAGCCCTCATTAGTGGGATTTAGTGCTCTTGTAAAAGATTTCCCAGAGAGATCCCTCAGCCCTTCCACCATGAGAGGACACTGTGAGAAGATGGAAGTCTATGAACCAGGAAGCACACCCTCACCTAATCTGCTGGCATCTTGATCTTGAACTTCTCAGCCTCCAGAATGGTGAGAAATACATTTCTGCAGTTTGTAAATAACCTAGGCTATGGCATTATGTTATAGCTCTCCAAATAGACCATGACATCTAGTCCCTATTGGATATCTGAATCTTCATGCCGCAAACCACCCCACCCCAGTCCAACCAGGGTTGTTTCTGAGAATCTCTTTGTTTAATTCCATGAATAATAAGAATTTGGTAACTGAGTACGTTTCCACTTGTACTGTGCCTTCTAGAAAGTTTAGTGTCAAAATGCTGGCCCAATTCAAGTAACAGAGCAAGATAACAAAATTCACTTTCTGCATTTTATTTGTTTTCGATCCTTAGCTACCTTTCATCTTCTGAATGTATTTTCCCTTTGCCAGGTATCCTCCTCTTTTCTCACCTGTTTCATATTATGTACTTCTATAGGCTATCTTGACCATTTTATGAAATGAGACGTAGATTAACAACTGGATGCTGAGTTTGCACAGAACAGACATATATACACACAGGAATGAAAAGGGAAATGGGACAAAGAAACCATCACAGGGGCAAGAAAAAGCAGATGTATTCCGCTTACAGTTATGGCAAGTAGCTCCTCTGTAACCAGTGTTGGTACAGTTACAATGAAAGGCGCTCCAGGACTGGGAACACTCCCCACCGTGTTCACAGTAGTTGGGTGAACACCTAAAAGAAGGTGCAGATACAATCACCAGTTTCCATTTTTAGATATCTTAAAGTACTGACCATTTATACATGGTCATAAGAAAGATACATTTCAACTATAACATAATGACTAATGATGCTTCAGTCTGTTATTAATCACTTTAATCACAAAACTAAACCTTAGATCAATACATTCATCAGATTTCAGCCAATTCTCAGGTAGTTGTGACTGCTTAATTTTCAACACGTCTCACTATATCAGAGCCCTTCATTTTCCCTAAGTGACATAACATGGATTCAATATGTTGGCAGAAATATCCATAGCATACATGAAACAACATTTTATCACACTGAATTGCTACATTGTTCGAACACTGAAAGGAGAAGGAATAAAGATAGAAGAAAAGATAAAAGGAAGACAGAGGAATATCTTTCTTCACTTGAGGTGTACTTCTAGGAATGTAGAAGAATACACAGTATAGACTCACAAATTTCAAGCAGTGTGTCGGGGTGCTCTAAGGTGCAAAACAGAACTTATAGGGACTCCCAGGATAATTTAAGTCTTCAAGAGAAATATCTGTCATACTCAGCACCTATCAAACACTGTGTGATTTACTAACTAGCCTGAGGTAATTTAGTTTCAACATTAGATCATTATATATTCCCTTTAATCACATCCTATCCTTGAAGAGCAGGGTTTTAGTAATTGATTATTTATTTATTTATTTATTTATTTGGACAGAGTCTCCCTCAGTCACCCAGGCTGGAGTACAGCGGCGCCATCTCTGCTCACTGCAAGCTCCGCCTCCCGGGTTCACGCCGTTCTCCTGCCTCAGCCTCCCGAGTAGCTGGGACTACAGGCACCTGCCACCACGGCCGGCTAATTTTTTTGTATTTCTATTAGAGACGGGGTTTCACCGTGTTAGCCAGGATGGTCTGGATCTCCTGACCTCGTGATCCGCCCGTCCCGGACTCCCACAGTGCTGGGATTCCAGGCGTGAGCCACCGCGCCCGGCTGTAACTGATGTTTTAAAAAGCAAGTACCACGTGAAATCAACATTGAATGAGGCTACTGGAGTCTCATCTGCTTTTGTTGTTGTTGCTGTTTTGGTTGTTTTGTTTTGTTTTGTTTTGTTTTGTTTTTTGAGACAGAGTCTCACTGTTGCCCAGGCTTGAGTGCAGTGGCACCATCTCGGCTCACTGCAAGCTCCGCCTCCTGGGTTCTAACAGCGGTTCTGCCTCCTGTATTCTCCTGCCTTAGCCTCTGGAGTAGCTGGGATTACAGGCTTTCGCCTCCACGGTGGTGTGTTCAACAGGCACACATGTCCAAATACTAAGTAATTGTGTTTAATTAAAAATAATTATTTTCCAAATCATGTATATTACTTTTTTCAAAAGATTCCTAGGTTGTTATGGCATATTTGTTAGTTTTTTGGACCCAAACCACTTTTTAAGGTTAGGGATATATTTCTAGTGTTAGGAATGTCTTTTGGCCTAGGGGCACGGTGAAAATTACCGAGACACATAGGGCACCAAAGATGAAAAAGTTTGGAATGTTTTGTTATTGACTAAAATAGCCCTGATCAGATTTGTGATGACTTTTAGGATTTAGAATGAAAGGTAAATTGAGATCAAGACTTTAAATGCCCTCATTTATTACAGATTAACAACTAAATAAACTACAAAACCTGCAAGAACATATTTGTGATGGTGTTTTTACCATCTCCTTTATTAAAACTAAGGAGGAGAACTTCCTGTTTTGCTTACAGAATTTTTCCAGTTTTAACTGAAAAGGATATTATGGATTTTTTTTTTCCTGATAATAAAGACTAAAATGGCCCTAACATTCCCCTCAGCTTAATCACAATTTGGATAGGTTTCTTGCTGACTATAGGCACTTGACCTCTCTTATCTTAGAGCCTTTACTTTAGAAAACTTTCCGTGATCAATTCTTTCTTTGTGCCTTTCAGATATAAATCTTCTCCCAGCCTCTTGCCAGTTTTACAACCCAGGAATGTCTTTCAAGGACCTGGGAGCCACCCCCTTGAAATGTAAGCATTAAGAAAGATAGAGCCCCTATTTCCCAGTCTCTGGGGAGGTAGGAACCTAACTTCTTTAAGCACCAATAAGCAAACACAGATGGCCTCATCTCACTGACACTGTTAGCCAGTTGTAAGGAAATAAATACTTATTAAGTTATTCGTAGCTAAACCACTTTTAAAATCAAAGTGTTAGGTCTATCTTTCGGCTTAGAGGTGCGGTAAAAAGTTACTGAGACAGCTAGAGCAGCATGAGCAAACAGTTCGGGAACTTGATCAAATAGCCCTGATCAAATTATTGATCCCTTTTAGGATTCAGAATGAAACATACCAAGAGACCAAGGCTTTAAATGTCTCATTAAAAAAAAAAAAAAAAAAATCTACAAAAAAATCCAAGCTTTAAAAAAAATCTACAAAACCTGCCAAGAATATATTCATAATAGGGTTTCTGCCATCTCTTTTATTTTTATTTTTATTTTTATTTCTTTGAGACAGAGTATCGCTCTGTTGCCCAGGCTATAGTGCAGTGGCGCGATCTCGGCTTATTGCAAGCTCTGCCTCCTGGGTTCACGCCATTCTCCTGCCTCAGCCTCCCAAGTAGCTGGGACTACAGGCGCCTGCCACTATGCCCAGCTAATTTTTTGTATTTTTTACTAGAGACAGGGTTTCACCATGTTAGCCAGGATGGTCTCGATCTCCTGACCTCGTGATCTGCCTGTCTCGGCCTCCCAAAGTGCTGGGATTACAGGTTTGCCATCTCCTTTATTAAAACAAAGGATGGAAACTTCATGTTTTGCTTACAGAATTTTTTCCAATTTTTAACTAAAAACAATATTGTGTATTTTTCCTGGTTACAAAAAAGAGATGTCCACTGTACAGAAATTAAACAATCCAGGAAAAAATAAAAAAGAAATGTCATTGGCATCTCACTGCGTATGAACGACCACTACAAACTTACAGATCTGTGTGTATGTCCATAAATATAATCATAAGGAAATGCTACTTTACAATCTGCTTTTTAAGAAACCAAAAATTAATAATGACCATCTCTTCATATCCATTAAGTTTATACATATTTAGCATTTTTATAGATTCACAGGAATTCATTCAAAAATGTGTCATGATTAATTTTAAGATTTCAAATCAATGACAATGTGTAAAAACAGGGAGACTTTAAAATATTAAAACAATAACAATTCTAGTTGGTAATCAAACCAGAAACAACATTATTCAGAAAAGGCTTTTATTTCCCCCTATGGAGTATATTCATGTCTTTTTATTCTTTTAACTCTCAAGTTCAGGGGTAACTTATGTGCAGGTTTGTCACCAGGTAAACTTGTGTCATGAAGGTTTGTTGTACAGATTATTTCATCACCCAGGTATAAAGCTTTGTACCCATTAGTTATTTTTCCTGATCCTCTCCCTCCTCCCACCCTCCAACTTCCAACAGGTCCCAGTATGTGTTGTTCCCTTCTTTGTGTCTACGTGTCCTCATCATTTAGCTCCCACTTATAAGTAAGAACACGTTGTATTCATTGCATTAGTATTCCCAATGGCAGACACGGAATCAACCTAAATGTCCGTCAATGATAAACCAGATAAACAAAATGTGGTACACAGACACCATGGAATACTATGCAGTCATAAAAAAAGAATGATATCACATCTTTTGCAGGAACATAGATGGAGCTGGAGTCCACTATTCTTAGCAAACTAATGCAGGAACAGAAAACCAAAGGTTATTCTGTAGCAAACCTCAAACCATGTTTTAAAAGGAGTTCAATATAAGTGGCTTTGCCTAAAATCCAAAAGAATGACTCTTAAATGGCTGTGATACATATGCTATTTCTATTTGATCTGCTTCAAAAAGACCAACTGAGTCCATTTTTCTTGATTCTTGTTAGACCAGATTTTTCATATTTTTAATTCAAATGTGAAAGATTAAATTGTGACTTTTATTTAAAGTCATTATATTATTGTAATGTTTACTACTGGTAACCTATGACAATTTATGTTCTATAGTACTCATTCTCACCAAATGTTCTAAACTGTTGTATTTTACACTTTTCTCCTCCCTACTCACTACAATACAAGATAAGACAATTCATTAACCCATTTTCTCTAGCCACTAAAGCTTTTCCTTGGACACTACCATCATTTCCATTGCTTGTGAACTTGAACAAATGCTTACATCAACACACCCAAACCTAAAGTGATAGTAAGATTTTGATTTCTCCTGATTCCCTGTCCATCACAATGTAAATTTCAAAAGCTTTCATACAATGTAAAGATTTGCTGGAATTAATATTGAAGTAAGCTCTATACAACATTATCACAGTTAGGGAAATAAACCTAAGTGCCAGTGAGTGCTAGGATAATGGTGACCACCACAATTCAAATCTTACATTCTTCCTCAAAACTTTGATATTGACAAGAACCAAGCTCCTCATATCCCTAGCACTCGCCTCCAAAAGGGGCATGCCTGCAGTATTAGAGGAGGCAGAATAACACCATGATCTTCAAATCAACTGGAATAAACCCCGTATGTCAGCATAAGGAACAAAGGGCAGGCTTGGGGGCTCCAAGGAGAAGAGGGGAGGGAAGGTAGGCAGGTAGAAACTCCACCAGAAACGAGGAGGAAAACAACGGGCCTGTGGAGGACGGTGCCGTGGAGGCTGGAGGCCAGAGCCCGAGGGCTGAGTAACAGAAGTGGACTGGAAGGACAGGTGATGGAGGTGCAGAGGCTGGAGGCAAGGAAGCCAGGAGTTGGGTGCTGGGCTTGCTAAGGTCACAAGGTGTACATTGTCACTCAACAACCTGTTAGTTCCCGTCAGGGGGTCTCTCTGCAGCCCAGGTGTGCTTTGATACCAACTGATATACTTAACAATTTTCTTTAATAAGTGTTTTACACCCAAGCAACTTCGTAAGAATTTTTGTCTTAGTAGCCATCACTCTTGCCCCAGCCCCACTCACATTTCGGCCCCAGATGTGGGGACCTGGACAGCAGCCGCCTTTTCAGTTCTGTACTCACCCCTCAGCCATCCGTCTCCGTAGTCCCTGGACTGAGGGCCACCCTGCTGCATGTCCACAGACGACAAGGGGAGGGCTTCTAAGAGAGAGAGTGTGTGTGTGTGTGTGTGTGTGTGTGTGCGTGCAGGGAGTGACTCTGTGTAAGGAAGATGTGAACATAAGACATGTGGGAATGACTCATAAGTGTAGAAGTGTAAAACAATGGTTGTGTTCGGGTGTGAGTGTGCATGAGTAAGGATTAATATGTGAGTTGTATAAACGTGTGTAAGGATGGTGTGTGAATGTGTAAGGAGCTTTGGGCTATGTGAATGAGCATATGAGTGTCCACGTGAGAGAAACGGTGTGCAAAGGTCACATTGGTGCATGTGTATAGAGAGTGTGTGTGAATAGCCATGTGGTATAAACATGAACACGTGTGTGCATTTGTATTTACACCTTTATGTTTAGCTTTGCGCTAACTTAAAGTCAATTATAGTTTTTTAAAAACCTGCCTTGTTTTAAGTTCCTCTCAGATTGTTAATGTTTTTAACGTTACTGCCTGTTTTTTTGTTTGTTTGTTTTTGTTTCTGGAGATGGAGTTTCACTCATGTTGCTGAGGCTGGAGTGCAATGGCAAAATCTTGGCTCACTGCAACCTTCGTCTCCTGGGTTCAGGCGATTCTCCTGCCTCAGCCTCCCAAGGAGCTGGGATTATAGGCGTGCACCACCACACTCGACTTTGTTATTTTATTTTATTTTTTTGTATTATTAGTAGAGACGGGGTTTCGCCATGTTAGCCAGGCTGGTCTTGAACTCCTGACCTCAGGTGATCCACCCGTCTTGGCCTCCCAAAGTGCTGGGATTACAGGTGTAAGCCACCATGTCTGGCTGGCTGTTACTGCCTGTTTTTAATTACAGTTTATTGAACCATCAAATGATACATTTATTATGCATGGATTAAATATTAACCACCCCAAACATTAACTTGCACCCAGAGGTGCTGCATGGCATGGCAGGCAAACATTTCAGGGAGACTTCCCTGGATCCCCGGTGCTTGGGCTAGAGGCTGGGCTCTGCCTTTTCTTAGCCATGTCATTTTAGCCAACTTATTCTCTCTGTGCATCTGTTTCCACATTTATAGGAAACAAACACTATTAAGAACAGGTTCTAAGAGATTTTGTGAGGCTTGATTTAAATGCTCATTCATGTTAAGTGCTTAGCATAAGGCCTGGTACACAGACCTTTTTCTAAAAGGCTCCATTTAATTCTTGGGATGCCATCCATCTTGGGATGCCATGTCAGTAAGTATAGCATATAAGACCAAACTAAATATATATCTTCTTCTGAGTGTAAGACAACAGGTTTAGAGATACACCTGGAAATTTAAAAAGTATGCAAATGTGACTTTGATTTTTGCTATATTTTTAAGATTGTTAGGGTTACTGTTAGCCTAAAGTGTCTTTTAAAAAGAAAATGTATAGTCAAGTTCTACCCATAATTTACTATTTCTGAAAAGCATTTTTAAGGTATAGTACTAAAGTGATATATTCTCCAAATGTGCTGATGGTCCTCTATTTTACAGAAAGTATGTACCTTCAGAAAGCAGGCAACCGGGAGTCCTTGTGTGAAATGGCAGCTCCAGAACATGTCCACATAGGACAAAGGGTAGATACACTTGTACCAAATGAATGTTCTGCAATCCAAGATCATCAACACGCACTACCACCCACAGTGTGCATGGCTGAGCCTCTCGCTGCCAGTTTCCCCGATGGCTGCTCCCCATCAGGGGTTGGGGAGTCCCTGCCTCTGTGAGAAAGCCTTATATTGAGAAGCCAGGCCCAGAAAGCCTCTCTGTGTGCCCTCCCCCAAATCAGGTTTTAGGTTCCAGAGCTGTTAAGGTTGTAACTACGGACAAGTTTACAACAAATGGACCCAGAAGTCATGCAATCCCCAAATCAAGCCAGTTGAGGTTTAATGTCTAAATTCTCTCTTTTCATATCATCTTTCATTATAGAAAGAAGTGTTTTCTCTGCAAATTGTTATAAATAAATAAATGAGTATTTGTGGGGAGGAAATTATGTCCTTCTACTCTTATTGCTGAATATGGTGATTATCACTGTTTTCTGGACATCATGAAGTATCTATCAGTGTTCGAAACAGGATTGACAAATATTACTGAGTGGTCTGCTGGATACAAATAGAAGAGTCTTTTTGTTGACAAAACATCTCATAAAAGTAAAAAGTTACTTTTGATGCGCCTAATTTATGTATTTATTCAAAATACATATTGAACATTACTACAGGGTAGAGGCTAATTTGGTCACACTGTTTTAAAAATTGTTTAATCTGTAATGGTTATGACATTCCATTAAACTCAATAATTAAAATTAACAGCCTTGATATTAAAGCATGACTGGCAAGATGACTTAGTTATAGTTGCTCATGCCTAACCACAGGTTTCAATTATTACTAACTATTAATTATTATTTTTCGCTGGGTGCAGTGGCTCACACCTGTAATTCCAGCACTCTGGGAGGCTGAAGTGGGCATACAGCCTGAGCTCATGTGTTTGAGACCATCCTGGGCAACATGGCAAAACCCTGTCTCTACCAAAAAATACAGAAATTAGCTAGGCCTGGTGTTGTGTGCCTGTAGTCCCAGCGACTCAGAAGGCTGAGATAGGAGGATGGCTTGAGCTAAGGAGGTGGAGGTTGCAGTAAGCTAAGATCGCACCACTGCCCTCCAGCCTGGGCAACAGAGCCAGATCTTGTCTCAAAAAATTTTATTTATATATTTATTTATTTATTTATTTAAGACAGAGTCTTGCTCTGTCACCCAGGCTTGAGTGCAATGGCATAAACTTGGCTCACTGCAACCTCTGCCTCCCTGCTTCAAATGATTCTCCTGCCTCAGTCTCCCGAGTAGCTGGGATTACAGGCAACTGCCACCATACCCAGCTAATTTTTGTATTTTTAGTAGAGACGGGGTTTCACCAGGTTGGCCAAGCTGGTCTCAAACTACTGATCTCAGGTGATGCACCTGCCTTGGCCTCCCAAAGTGCTGGGATTACAGGCATGAGCCACCGCGCCCAGCCAAAAATATATATTATTTTCAAAGTGATTTGTCCTCCACAATTAATTCTCAAGTCCTGCCTTGTCATGTCCTGTACTGATGCTCTTGTTGAAACTCTTTGATCATCCTTATACCTTGATCAATACCACAACCCCAAGCTTCTCTAGAGAAGTTTGCTTTCATTTTCCCTGCAAGAAGATGGTAATGGGCTGTTAAAGAGGAACATTAGGAGAAGTGCAACCAGTTGAATTCCCCTGCCTTGGAAAATATTCCGCTGTCAGGGTAGCAAATGCCAGTTTGATAACTAACCACATAGTCTCAAATGTATTGGTACCTGATGATCAATTTTACTGTTCAAGTGCCTTAATATATTGAGTTTAATGACATATTTTTTAACACATCTATACTTCTCTAAAATTACAGCAGCATCAACAGTATCTTTTGAGAACTGGTAGCATGTGTACATATGTAGCCATACATAACTTGGCCAAGTCTTCTAAATTCTGTCATTTAAAACATGACATTTAAACAAAGTGTGCATTTTTTCTTATTTGTAATGAAAATACACTCCATTTCCTGTGGAACAGATAAGAACGGGGAAGAGAAGAGAATAATTGCTCATCTTATACATAAATTTTAATCCGACGCCAAAGTTTGAAAGGAGGTCGAAATGAAGTGAGATTGCTCTTACCTGTCTGAGATGCCACACGAGTCTATCTGAAGGTCACTGAAGTTCCCAAGGGACCCCTGCTGAACTGAAATCAGATCTACCACTCTGCCACCGATAGAAATGAGCCTCATACATCCCTGAAATCCACCAAGTGGACTTTTACATTTGGATCCAAAGCTTTTGTCAGGACAACCTGATAAAAACAAAATAAAACAAGTACACATCATAAAGAATCAGAATTCAGTATCATGGACAACTTCATTTAAAAAATAAAAGAAAGAGGCATATGATTATTTTCTGTATTAAAGGAGGCAATAATGACTGCAGTCATTATTAGTTTGATCTAAATTACAAACTGAAATTCATACAAAGAATTTTTTATTTACATAGCATTCCCAGGAAGTCACTAGTATTATAATAATGTGCAAGGATATTAGCTTGATCTAGATTTGAAAAATATAAACATTAGCTCCAGAATCCTAAACATGCCAGCCAGCAATATTAAACTGTATATAACTTACTGATGGGAATTTAGTCTTTTGAATTGCACAATTAAGAACATAAAAGATGAAAGCATATACTATGTATAAGAAAAGACACATTAATAATGGTGAAATGTCTTTGTATTTATAAAGCTAACTATTTGGAAAATGGGTTCTCTTGGCTTGGAATAAAATTACCAACTGTTTATCTAATTAATTATTGCATTTTCCTATATATAAAGGAACCATATACACAAGGATTTTAGTAAGTCTTGATGGTTTAATATCAAAAATATTTCACAGTTTGATTTTATTCTTTGCCTCATAAAAGAATGTTTCATTTACATTGATTTTTTCTAGCATTTATATAAGGCTTGTTTATAATTATTTAAATAATAAATACAATATTAACCATTATTGTCTGTGGTCTAATGGCATTCTAAATGTTTCTCTATCCAAGTGGAATAATAAGTTTATGGAGTATGAATACATGTATTACATTTTTTCCATTTTTAATTTGTATGGATACATGGTAGGTGTATATACGGGTACATGAGATGTTTTGAAACAGGCATGCAATGTGAAATAGTTACATCATGGAGAATGGGGTATTCGTCCTCTCAAGCATTTACCCTTTGTTTTATAAACAATCCAATTAAACTATTTTATTATTTTAAAGTGCACATTTATTAACGACTATAGTTACCCTATTGTGCTATCAAACAGTAGGTCTTATTGATTCTTTCTAATGGTATTCTGTACCCATTAACAAGCCCCTACTTCTCCCCAAACTCCACTACCCTTCCCAGCCTCTTGCAACAACATGGATGGAACTGGAGGTCATTATGTTAAGTGAAATAAGCAAGGCACAGAAAGACAAACATTATGTGTTCTCACTTATTTGTGAGACCTAAAAATCAAAACAAATGAACCCATGGACATAGAGACTAGATGGGTGGTTATTTTTTAATTAATCTTTATTTGCCATGATAATCATCAAACACTATCACAATTTCAAAGAATAAGAAGTGAGTCAGCGACTTCTTAATTCCTGTACAATCCAGACTAGTTTTCTACTTGTGAATTTCCACTATAATTACATTGTTTGACTGATAATATTTTTCCTTAATGCTTTGTTTTCCTGACAAAACACATTTATATGGCAAGTAAAGGACAACGTTCAAATTTAAAACTATTATCAGACACTGAAACATCTTATTTTAACCTAATAGAGACTTTGAAGTTTCAAATTTAATGTATCAAGATAAATTCATCAAAGCTTTTTGAGTGTTAATTTATTGTACATGGTACTACACACATTTCCAGTGCTTAAATTTCTTCTGTAGTATAAGATATGGTTACCATAATCTCAGTATGTATTCTGAATGACTTATTAGCCAATTAAGAATGTTAGGGTAACAACTGAAAGGATAATAGTTCAATAATATTTTGAAGCAACTATAATATGCCAGGAATACAAATAACTCTGCTAATCTTCTTTTCTCCAGGTGGCGTTTCCTGACACATCTCAAACTAATTCAGAATAAAATAAATTGTGCAATATGCCTGTAGGGAACAAAGCTAAGCAAACCCAGAGTCACAAGGAAAGATCATGGAATTTTACAGAAAGCATACTATCCTATCATGAGGCAATTCATATTCCTAGCTACAATGTTCAGTAAGCAAGAGATTCTACGAACAAAGAGGGGTTCAACCCAGGTTAGCCTCATTAGTCTATGATAAGAGGCAGCAACAAGTTAATATAATGCAATACCAGAGAGAAGTTCAGCACTGAGCCCAATTTGAGATGAAAGTCCTAAAATAGGAAGATTTCTGAAGAATACTTAATGCTGAATTAATGGATGGATCCATTACTGGAGGCAGTCAGCATGTTAAGCACCTCTGAGGATAACAGATAAATTATCGCTATATGTCACTGCAGCAGAAGTGAGATGTCAGGTTAGACTTCACAGTGCTGTAGTCAGTTCATTGGATGGAGAATGTTTGCTTTACACAAGGGAGGGGGATGTGAGAATTTTGCACACAGTATCCCCAGCTTGTGCTGCATGGCGTGTCAGGCATTGCAAAAGATTCCATGGGGGAATTTACAGAAATGAGACACTCAGTCATTCTGAATTTAGAGAATCTAAGTTTAAAATGTGTAATTTATAAATGATAAAAGCTGAGCAGAATGTACCACCACAATGCAGTCTGACTTTGTGAAAAGCACCTGTTTGAGGGTGGAAGAAAAAGTCCAGAGTAAAAAGTGATGGCTGGATAATAGAAGTCTGGGGTGGAATATATAGAGTGCTGCTAGTCCAGGAGCAGCCCACTCTCCCAATATGACAGCCACTGTCAAGACTGGTAAAGAGTGGAGCTATAACCCAGGCTGTTGGAACAGCCCAGATAAAATAACTGGTAACTTGCGGTTAAATTGAGAGAGAAGGAGAACCGATGAAACGTGTCTCACAACACAGAATAACTTTTTACTTGAACATGAACTGGCTGAAGAATTATCTAAAAAACACTTTCCACCTAGACAACACAGATCCTAGTGATAGAGCGCAGCCTCATCTACATAGAACTTTGCCGGATGAACGACTGTCACAGTTTACCCGAGAACTGGGGAGGGAGGTTGTTCCCAGGATGAAGGACTTTCAGCTGAAGTTGGCAAGAGTTGATCACCCCACTGCCTGTACCACCTAGGACCCTGTGCCAGTCTTGCATTTTAGGGACCCTACTTTAGCCCTCCTCCAGTCATGCTCTTGCCTATGGTACCAAAAGGCCTCACAGGAAAAGGTGATGTGTCCACTTAGAACCCTTTCCCCTCCAGTTCACTCCCAGGATCCAGAATTTCCAGTCCGAAACCCCTAAATGGGCTTCCTGGAAGATGGATCTCCTTAACCTGGTTCTGGAAGCACAAGGCTGGGAAGTACAGGGCAGAGTTTGGCAGCAGGCCTTTTGCTGTCATTCGGCTCCTTGTTTCCAGCCCTGGAACTGTTAGGGTGGCCTGGATTTTGCAGGGCTTGTATTTAATGACCAACAGAATCTCATGCCAAGGTCAAGCATATTCTGATGTGAAAGAACATCGATTGAATGCAGCACGCCAACATGGCACAAGTATACATATGTAACAAACCTGCACGTTATGCACATGTACCCTAGAACTTAAAGTATAATAAAAAAAAAAAAAGAAAGAAAAAATGATTGAATAAACAGAGATACCTAAGTAAACTTGAGATTTGTAATTTTTTTAAGAAAGCCCTAAAGTTGGAGTTTTACTGTGGAAACTCTTACAATATATTATTTAGAAACACCTTAATATATGTAAAGTTATAATAAACATGAAGGAAGAATAAAACCCAAATTCAGGACAGCATTTACGTGGGAGATCAAAAGATATGACGCAAGGGACAGACACGCATTGATCACGTTTCTTTAGCAGAGGGACACATGGGTAGGTGTACACTTAAGAAAAATGGTTAGTAAGCTTTAAAATGTATATATGATGTAAGGTGTGAACAATAGAGGAAACTGGATGTGGGGTGTGCAGGAACTATCTGTATCTTTGCAACTTTTCTGTAAATCTAAAACTATTCAAAAATGTTTTTTTAAAAAGATGTATATCATATGTATCATAATAAAAACAAGCAAAATTACAGAGTACATGTGTGATATATTTTACTATACAGTAACATTACAGTATGAATAAAAGCAATCACTAGAGTAAACATTTATATAAACTAGCTAGGCATTGTTAAACCTGAACATGAAGGACATAAAATATGTGAAGAATGATGATTCTATTTTCATGATTTACAAACAATTTTATCCAGTCTTTTATTTTGCATCATTTAACAATATGCCTATTTTTTCCCTTATCTCTTTTAGTGCTTCTAAATCTTTTCCTTTGAAGTGAAAGCTCTTGGTTAAGTTGTTCTACATATCTCACTATTTATTAAAAGAATGTGTTACTACGGATTGCCATAAAATCAATCACATATTCCAAAAGGTTTTATAAGCAGCCCGGTTTAAACATCTCAGTAAAGGAAGCGATTATATATTTTCAGATTGTTGGCCCTAAGAAGCCTTTCACAATAATGGATTATGTAGCAGTCTTTTTGTTTGTTCTTTTGCTTTTAGAATCCTATAAATTGATTCATGGACTGTGTGCTCACTGTCAATACTTAGAAAATAATTTGTATTTTATTAGTGAATAATAAAGACTGGGCTACCTCTACCGAATTCAAAAATGATTCCAGAGACAAGCAATTATTAAAATGTAACATAACAACGACAAAACAACGCTAACATAAGCAACACCTCAACATGATTAGAAGTGAGTCTTACTGCTGGCAGTTTTAAAACATTGCATTTCTAATGGAAAAGAACATTTGTTTCAATTTTCCAGTGATAAAAATTGGTTTCCATTTTTTGGGCTTTCTTTTCCAAGCTTTTAGTTCAAACAAACATCTACTGGGCAGGTGGACGCTTCATTTGTTTTGTTCTCTAAGGGAGATGAACTGGTGTCGAAGGCTGATGCCCTGATTTCATCAAATGTATGAGTGCATTATGCTTAACAAGGAGAAGAGGTTGCTGGGGCTGATTAAGTTAAATTATTTGTCCTTTGGTATAATATTGTCCTTCTGTACTGGACAGTAGGGAAGCAATAAGGATGCTCTGAAGGAGCTAAGAGGCATAATCAAGAAAATACTGCAATTAAATCAGCCCATAAAATCAGAAGACATACAAGGATCATTTAACATTAGGAAAATATAACAAGGTTTAGATAAAAAAACCAAAGAGGATGGCCTACTCAAAATCAATCTCATTATAGAAACTGTAAACAGAAGTAAGTCCGCCTTGCAGAAATGCATTTCAGGTCAGAATTTTTCGACTTGATCCACCCAAAATTTCCCTGATCAAAGACAGTGAAAAATGATTCCTTAGTATTCACATTGGTTAAAACATGATGACTTCACCAAGACACGGGGGCACTAATGCAAATATGGTTCAGTTGCTCACAGAGCCTGGTGCCTATTCTTACCTCCAAAGTAATAGGTGCCATCTGAATAAATCTGCTCAGGCCCCAGTGGAGGAGCAACAGAAGCCAACTGGCCATCCACCGCCACACTCAAGTGATTCTTTTTAGCAGATAAAGAGACAGAATGCCACTGCCCATCATTTAATCCGACACCTGGGGAGATGAAATCAGTTAGAGATCTCTCTCAATAGTGAGCACTATAAGGAGTTGGTTAGAAACAGCAATATACACATCACTCAATTGGCTATAGTTCTTAACTCTATTAATTAAACACAATCACATCAACAAGGAAAGGGAGACAAATGGGAAATCAACATCCTCTGTGTGGAAATGGGGCATTCTAAATTCCCAACCCTGGACAATCCTGGATGGTTAAAATATTTCAATTATTTGTCATAGATTGATTTTAGCTTCCATCTATGTAATTTCCTTCCTAGGGAGGAAGGATTTGGGAATTCCCAAAATTCAAAGATATACCCAATAAAATGGTTTACCTGCTACTTTATACTTTTTTGATAACCACCTTTTTATGGTAGGATAATAGAATATTTAGCAAACTATACCATCAATCATTACAACAATATTGGAATAAACTATTAATAAACAGTGAAAGTCTACAGGTATAACGTAAAGTTAAAAATAACGCACTGTGAAAAAGCCATGTCTATGCAATTGATCCTCGTAATTTGTAGGTTTTATATTTGAGAATTTGCTTCCTTACTAGAACTTACTTATAACTCTCAAATCAGTATCTGAAGGGGCGTTCTCAGTCATTTGAGGACATGCACAGAGCAGTAAAGACCTTGAGCGGCCCTGTCCACATTTCCTGCTGAGGTCAAACAGGGCAATGCTCTCCCTTATTGCTTTAGCTCTCATACAGTAAATCACATTTTCTTTAAATTTTTGTAAGTTTGTTCGTGATTTCACTGTTTAAAGTGGCCCCCAAACATCATGCTGAACTGTTGACTAGCATTCCTAAGAACAAGAAGGCTGTGATGTGTCTCTTGGAGAAAATACATGTGTTAGATAAGTTTCATTCAGGCATGAGTTATGGTGCTGTTGGCCATAAGTCCAATGTTAATGAGCCAACAACATTATACTAAAGAAGACGTCCTTAAACAGAAACGCACATAAAACAAGAGTATGTATTGCCTGGTTGAAAAAATGTGACAGAGGCTCCCAGGAACCTAACCCTGTTATTTCCCCCAGGAGCAAAGGTTCAGTATTCCCTAATTCAGTGTTCACAGACTTTTGAGAACTTAACTATAATAAACAATAAGAATAAACTCTCTCTATATTTATATACAATTCTAACTATATTCTTTTTTTAATTTGTTTGTTTGCTTTTTGAGACGGAGTCTCACTCCGTCACCCAGGCTGGAGTGCAGTGGTGCGATCTTGGCTCACTGCAAGCTCCGCCTCCCGGGTTCACGCCATTCTCCTGACTCAGCCCCCCTGCCCACCACCACAGTCGGTTAATTTTTTTTGCATTTTTAGTAGAGACAGGTTTTCACCATGTTAGCCAGGATGGTCTCGATCTCCTGACCTCGTGATCCGCCCACCTCGGCTTCCCAAAGTGCTGGGATTACAGGCATGAGCCACCGTGTCCGGCTCTAACTATATTCTTACGTAAGTATGGGAAGGGACTGAACAGAAATGTTCTTGGCCAGGTGCAGTGGCTTATGCCTGTAATCTCAGCACTTTGGGAGGCTGAGGCAGGTGGATCACCTGAGGTCGGGAGTTAGAGACCAGCCTGACCAACATGGAGAAACTCTGTCTCTACCAAAAATACAAAAAATTAGGCGGGCATAGTGGAACATGCCTGTGATCCCAGCTACTGGGGAGGCTGAGGCAGGAGAATTGCTTGAACCCAGCAGGCAGAGGTTGCAGTGAGCTGAGATTGCACCATTGCACTCCAGCCCGGGCAAAAAAAAAGAAAGAAAGAAACAGGTTTTATTTTGTTTTGTTTTGTTTTTTTTTATGAAGGAAAAATGTGATTGTTTTTATTTACTTACATACTTTCCTGTATTTTCCAAGTTCATATACATGTATATATGTATAAAGTCAAAAGTTGCTAAAATCAAAAATCGAGATATTCTTATCACCTCTAAAAGGCAATCTCTAGTCCCTCCTAAGGAAGCCCCAGTATCATGAATCCATCAGAATGCATAGACTTTTCCTCTTACAGGCAATCGATTCTACAAGGAGCTCTGTAGTTAAATATTGAGCAGAGATGTGAAATCTAAGCGTCTTTGTCATGAATTTACCAGTCAGGTTTACATCCATTTGAATAGTCAACTCTGTGTGATTCTGCAGATCAAATTAGTAAACAAAAAATATAAGCAATCTATCAATCCCAAACAGCCTGTTTTCTGATATTGCATGTGATTTCTTTACTAATTTTATGTAAACCTCCTTTCTGATATATGTGATTTATTTCCCCGAGTAATTTCTACTACATGCATTTGGATCAAAAATGCATCAAAGCTGCCTTAGGTGATTACATGTCTTTGCCCTGGACGTATTTAGTCTAACACAAATTTTAGCCAGGGCACAGAAGCTCACTTTTACATCACATCCATGAAGCAAAAAAGATTATCGAAGACCCAACTCTGGTTTGGTTTGTGTAAGATAATAGGAGAGGCCTGAAAACTGGAATAGGAAGAATGTAGGTTAGATACTTTTAGACACATTTTCTAAGAGTGGACGCTGAAATAGACAGCTGAATAGAGTTATGTAATCCTTGATGGTATAGGACTGGATTAAAATAAATCAGATGTCCTAGATTTGTCATCCAGTGCTTCCTTTAAGCTAGATTTCACTCATTTAGAGAGAACTTTCTTATATACTCTCTGTGTCATATGTACAGACCCTTCCCAGTCTACCACTTGCCCCTGGCATTTCTCCCACATCTCATTTCCAAAGCCCTGTGTGCAAGACTCTACTTCTCTTATTTCATTTTAGACTTTCCATTGGTGTCCAACAGTTCTTCTCAAACTATCTGTGGGGATGAACATTTTATTTTTCTGATCTATTGCAAATGGAAACTTTTATAAAATATGATGAAAATAAATTACTAAAAAAATAGATTTTGGCAAGGCTGCAGAAAAAAAGGGGGAATGCTTGTACATTGTTGGTGGAACTGTAGATGAGTTCAGCTTCTGTGGAAAGCGGTTTGGAGATTTCTCAAAGAACTAAAAACAGAATTACTATTTGACCCAGAAATCCCATTACTGGATCTATACCCTCAGGAAAATAAATCATTCTACCAAAAATAGGGGTCCCCAATCCCCAGGGTAATGGACCGATACTGGGTCTGTGGCCTGTTAGGAACCGGATCACACAGCAGAAGGTGAGTGGCTGGCAGGCAAGTGAAGCTTCATCTGTATTTACAGCTTCTCCTATCACTTGCATTACCGCCTGGGCTCTGCCTCCTATCAGATCAGTGGCAGCATTAGATTCTCCTGGGAGTTCAAACCCTGTTGTGAACTGCACATGCGAAGGATCTAGGCTGCACACTCTTTAGGAGAATCTAATGCTTGATGGTCACTGTGTCGCATCACCCCCAGATGGGTCCACCTAGTTGCAGGAAAACAAGCTCAGGGCTCCCAGTGATTCCACATTATGATGAGTTGTATAATTATTTCACTATATATTACAATAATAATAGAAATAAAGTACACAATAAATTTAACGTGCTGGAATCATCCTGAAACCATCCCCCTACCTTACAGTCCATAGAAAAATTGTCTTTCATGAAAACAGTCCCTGGTGCCAAAAAGGTTGAGGACTGCTGACCAAAAAAGATGCCTGCACTTACATATGTATTGCAGTATTATTTACAATAGCAAAGACATGGAATCAACCTAAGTGCCCATCAGTGACGGAATGGATAAAGAAAATGTGGCATATAGACATCACAGAATATTATGTAGCAATAAAAAAGAATGAAATAACATTGTTTGCAGCAACATAGATGCAGCTGAAGAGATTATTATCCTAAGTGAATTAACACAAAAACAGAAAACTAAATACAGAATGTTCTCACTTATAAGTAGGAGCTAATCCCTGGGTACACATGGTCATACAAATGGGAACAACAGGCACTGGGGACTTCAGAAGGGAAGAGGGCATGGGACAAGAATTTAAAAACTACCTATCAGGTACCATGTTCACTATTTGAGTAATGGATTCAATTGAAGCCCAAATCTCAGCACAATGCAATATGCCCATGTAACAACCAGCACTTGTACCCCCAAACCTAAAATTTTAAAACATAAAATAAAACAATAACAAAAAAATAAATAAAAGGTAAAATACAAGCCCACTAACCATGTGCTTAGATATTGCAGTGATCTCTTTTTACCAGTTTCTAGGAGTTTAATCTCAATTTTTACATTCATCTCATCGTAGATCAGTTAAAAGTATTTCACTGAGCCAGTGCTGGTCCAGGGACCACACTTTGAGTAGCAGGGCTCTGGGCAGTTATTGGTTAGGCATGCAACAGGATTACCCAAAAGGCTTGGGGAGGCCTATTGTTCATACAGAAGCAAAAAATAGATTAAGAACAAAACACTGCCAGAGCAACCCACTGTGTAATTTGGCACACATTCAAACACATTCATCTAACAAGCTGGCAGGTTACAGGTTGTGAACAGAATGAAGTTGTGCCGTGTTTGTGGGGGAAACTTCAGACAGCTTTTCCCAAGCGTCCTTTATAACAAACATTATTTACCCATGATGAGGAGACTTAACACCTGTCAATTGGAATTTATTACTACAATCACAAAAGGTCCCATTAACTCATTTCAACTAACTCTACCTAATTTAAAATTAGATTCTAATTGTTTTGTAAGGATACAACTTTCCATTACTGGCTCTGATAATAGGATGGCCCCTTTCAAGGGCCACACCACTGTGAAACAGGAAAGAGAAAGAGAAATCATAGAATTTCAATTTGTTTTCTTGTTCCTGACATCCACTACTCAGAACTTTTAAGTCTGGGAAGAAACATGTTGTCATAATAACAAAATAATAATTTTACTGAGGTATTACTTATAACAAACACTGGGAGCTTTCTATGCATAGTATCATTTAATCTTCACTAAAACTATTATTATTTTCATCTTAAATAAGGAGGAAATGAGACTCAGAGAGGAAAAGAAACTACCGAGGTCATATCCACTTGCTGGATAGCTGAAGGAAAACAGAAAACCAAGACTGACTCCAAAACCTACACTCTGCCCTGTCTGCAAGACAGATGTGTCCCTTATTTTATTTTATTTTATTTTTTATTTTTTGCTCAAGTTAAACAATTAACTCTAAGAAAAATAGATCCCAACAGCTAGGACATGGCCTGGTACCATCAGTGAGACCTTGGTGTTATAAGAATCTGGCTAGCACTGAGGGCTAGGCTTTGGTGTTCTTCTGTTGAACGTCAACAATAACACAGAACACCAACATCAGACAAGGCCATTCTATGACTATAATGAAATGAAGGTGGGGAAAAGTCATGACTACTTTATAATCTTGTCTAAACACAGACAGAAGCAAGGCTACTGCACAAACAACAAAACACAAACTTCTCTCTCTCCCAATACTTATGAATGACCAATTGTTTTGTTTTGTATTTACCAATTACAACTTAAGCCTTACTTCATTCCTTCATCCTTCTAGATAAGGTTTACAAAGATAGCTAATCGTAGAATTACCCTCACTTCCCAACAGCATTTCATCTACAGCAATTTTTCACTTCCTTGAAACCTCCCTCAAATCAGCTAACACAACCCCAAATCCTATGCCATCCTAACACTTTTGTCTTCACACAACCCTTGGTTTCCAGGGTGTGTTCTCTCTGTTGCAATAAGCAATAAATTCAACTTGTTTAACTCCAGATATGTTCATCGCAGTCTTTGGATGGAAAACACTGACAATGCCAATTGGAATAATGGAAGGATGGAATAGTAAATGGAAGTGTTTGCAATTGCGGGTTGGAGAGGATAAGATTATGGACTAGAACGTTCTCTCTCTCTTTCTCTTTCTGTTGCTCTCTTTGTTCTGTCTTGCAGCCTAAATCACATAAACACACAAAACACAGCAGGAGAGGGAAGATTTGTATCTACTCCCTCTTTATAGATCGTCTTCTAGTTCCAGTCCTAAATTGCATCAGAAACATGAGAGCTTAACTGTCATCACCCTCTCATAAGACTACAACACATATCTATAGTGCACGATGTATAACAAAAAAATCATCCTGCCATATAGGGTAGGAGTTCTGCAAAGGTGCAAAAGGCAATTATACCTAGGCCATTCCTTAGGGAAACACTAAAGGGTGTTGCCTCTTTCCAGGTGTATTTCAGCACTCTAAAGTGCCAGACATTCTTATACGGACTAACTGTAGTCACTAATCAGAATTAAGGATCCAGATCACTAGATAGCCCTTGTCAAGATGAAAATACGGAGGTGGTTGGTACCCATCACTTTGGTGGAGAGCAGGAGTTTAAGGGGAGACAGGTGTATAGCCCAAAAGTTAGGAATATTTCAACAGTGAAAGGGAGGAAGGGGGATTGACAAAAATCGCTCTCCTGGGTGCAGCAAATCAAAGGGCCTGCTCCACTCTCAGGGGCACAAGAATCAACAATGCTTAGTAATAGAAAAATGCAGAAACATCTCAAATACTGCAAGCCTGCATCTGCCAGGCCCTGCCCATGGGGACAAGATGAATGGTTATAATCCTGATTTTCACTGTTAGACAAAAACAGCAGCAGAAATGCTAAAATCATACCAGAAATCTCAAATTTGATATTAAAAACTTTGTTTTACATAGGAACATAAAACTGTACTGTTCATTGATTTTTGCTTTGACATCTATAAAGGTGCCAATGACTAAAAATATTTTGTGTCATAAGGGATTTTATAGTGCTGCTAATATGTTTTATGATTTATACTAATATAATGTGAATATTTCAAAAATGATTTAAGCTGACATAATATTTTTGAATAATTCCAAATGACAATTTGCAAAACTGTACATATTAAAAATTTAGTCTGATAACTCAAACATTTGCACAATTCAGTTCTTTCTCAATACAATTTCATCTTAATCTCATTATAAAATATATTAAAATGTTGAGTTTTTCAAACATGTAAGATTTGTAAAATGTATCTCCAGAAGCTAAGAAAAATTAATCCTTATATAATGTAAAGATTTAGTACAACGTGATAGCAATCCATCAGTAAAGACGTGGTTCTCTTGAAAGTCATTATAATACATCCTGACAACTGGTTTAATTATCAAGCATTGCATACGTGAAACGTAAGTGGAAAGTCTTCCCCTTGGGAGAATAAACTGACCACCCACACAGCTACCATTTAAGTCGTCTATTTTCCAGTGCAGAATGTACTCGCTTCACGGGAACTAGCAAAAAATAATATCGTGAAAGAAACTGAAAAAAAAGGGTAGAGAGAGTTTTTAAGTAAAATCTTACTTGTGTTATCTTCAGTGTACTGATATTCAGATTTAGTCTAGTATCCTTATAATTAGTATGAAAATAACCATACAAAGTCAGATGATGTCATAACAGATTATATTGCATATGAATTTAAACATTCATTTAGAAATGTTTAAATCCCATGGGGTATTCTATACGACTTATGCCTAGTAATATATTAACTATACATGCTTGTAAAGTGGTTAGAAATGGGCTGGCTTCAGCCTGATCAACATGGAGAAACCCCGTCTCTATTAAAAAATACCAAATTAGCTGGGTGTGGTGGTACATGCCTATAATTCCAGCTATTTGGGAGGCTGAGGCAGGAGAATCGCTTGAACCTGGGAGGTGGAGGTTGTGGTGAGCTGAGATTGAGCCACTGCACTCCAGCCTGGGCAATAAGAGCGAAACTCCATCTCAGAAAAAACTAAAAAAAGGAAGAAAAAAGAAATAGGCTGGCTTCATGGAGCTCACCACAGTAACACTGCACTGAAGTGGTTTCTTTAAGATGCTGAAAATTAGGGTATGAATATAACCACTTCAGAAGATGTCAAATACATCACAATAAATGACACATTAATGGCAAGCTTACATTTTTAGACTTTCATTTTCAGGGCCTATTAATTATTAATATGAGACTGATTAATTTATTTCTTTTTGTCTAGCCAGCAAATCTACCACATTTTGAACATTAAATAAAAAGTCACAGCATAGTATCTCTTTGAAAATTATAACTAATATTGAATTCTCAGTTTCATATTTAAACTCCAATAGTAGTACAGCAACAAAAAGACATATAAAGAATCGGCATTTGTATATCCATTTGTACACTTATTTTCTCATATTTAATTTCCAACTGTATTTTAACTTTTCCTTTTTTTCTCCTCTTTAAGTCACATTCCACTATTTTTTGGTCATAGTTAATACAGAGGAGTAGTACAATGGAATCTTTAAGTTGTTTTTAAAGATCATTTATTAAATTAATGTAGTAATTTACCCCAAGGCAACCTCTAGTCGCTTGGCTTGGATGCTATTGTACATACGTAAAAATGTGATGCAGAGCTTTTGTCAACAACTATATAATTTTAATGAAGAGACAAAAATATTCCTCACTCAAAGCACTGACCTAAATTAGACATTCATTGCCCAGACACTCATATAGTCACCTTAATCATACTACTTCTAATCATTAAAACGATACCGTATTGCCTAGAAGTAGAAGAATTACATTTAGTACCCAAATGAGGACTCTTTCATAACTCTTTGCATCCCCCCAAAATGTATTCAACTCTTTACATAAGACATCAGCAAATAAAGTTACCATTCACACTGTACACTCATATACAGATATAGATAAAAATCCCAGAAAGACCTCTCCGTTTTGCTCACAGACCAGATAAGACTAATAGGTGTGTTAGGAACAGTCTAGTTTTCCACTGAGGGACACTTAGTTAACTTGTTGGCCTATTTCGAGGTCTTCAAGTTTTCCCCAAAACATGTCACCTTAGGATATGTTCTTTGCCTGGAGTAGGAGACAGGGTCACGAAAGGAAACTTCAGTTCCCCCAAAACTATCATTTTGGTTAATAAGAACTGCTAGTATGAGAACCATATTTAAAAGAAAATTGGAATCAAGTTCCTCTAAGGAAGAGTACTTATAATCTTATTAACCCGAGTATTCATTTATTAAGCAAATATGAAATTTTTGGTTATGCATAAAATTTGGCCACAGAGATAATGGAATCTTTCAAATCCATATGCTTTGCCCTGGGGAATACATTTATTACCTGCTGTGATGTCACTGGGTAATTTTCCTGGCTGGTAGAGATTCAGCTTAAGTTTTCCATCACTCAGAAAGAGGAGGATACCCCCTGAAACCAGCTGGAGTTCACTGAATAGCAGAAGCCCTGCCTTATTCCAAGTTCGAAATTGAAAAGTGGCAGAAACCTCTTCCTCTCCAGAGAAGTCTGGCAGCGCTAAATAACTCCGGGAGCTCAGAAAAGTCACGGGCATAGATTGTGGTTGTGAACAAGAAAATGACACATTTCCCTGAGAAGAGAGTCAAAGAAAAAGCTTTCAGAATGTTATTCACATCGCATTAGTAACAGATTTTGAAGGCTGCTTTTCCATCTCACATTTTCCGCAATTTAAAACAACCGCCTGCTATCAACATGACAATCCAAATCACTGCCATCTTTCTTAAAGGTTCTTCAATCCTTTGCTCTGCTCTTCTCTCCATTTCTCAACTTTAATAGAAACTTAAAAGTCAATGAAGTCAAGCTTATTTAGAAGAACACACATTGGCATAAAACATTTGGTCATGGTCAAACGGAAACATTTGGCCCCATTATGAATCTGTGAAAAGTGAACTCACTTTTATTATAAACAAATACATTGTTCCAATGAATGAAATAACAAAAGCTGAACAGCAAACTACACTAACCAACATGCTACCCTATAATGTAAAGGCAACTATAAGACCATCAAATCCAGGAAAAAAAATTGGAAACATTTTTACCAGTTGCATCTTGGTCTTTTTTTTTCTTAGTGATACATAATAGTTGTACATATTTATGAGACACATGATATTTTGATACACACACATAATGTGTAATGAGCAAATCAGGATAATTGGGATGTCCATCATTTCAAACATTTACCTTTTCTTTGTGTTGAGAACATTACAAAACTTATCTTGTAGCTATTTTGAAATATACTATAATTCCTTATAAACTATAGATGCCCTACTGTGCTATTGAAAACTAGAATTTTTTGCCCCTCTTCTTTCTAATCATATTTTTGTGCCCATTAAGCTGTAGCTTGATCTTATGCATCATTCGGATAGCTGCCTGATACCCTACCAGCAGCAAACCCTCTTGCCAATGAAGAGTGAATGGTCCTTGAAGCTTCTAGAAACTTGTTTTAAGGATAAAACACACACACACACACACACACACACACATCTATCTAAAATATTTTTATTTTTATTTTAAATAATTTCCCTTTTATAAAAAAACAACTATTTTAAAATCTTGCTGGCTGTTACGGTCATATAAATACCACCAATGTACATAATTAGAAATAAAATGCTATATAAACAATAAATACACTTATGATGTGCTTTGGGATTTGCTGACAAGTGAACTTAAATTTACGTACTTTGGATTTTAAGCAACGAAAGAAATTCATTCAGATCAATATGTGTCGGCTTTTTATTATCAAACTGGTTAAGCTAGAAACCATGTTTCCCAGAATCCCCTTACTTGTCTGCTTCTGATTAAGACCCAAAAAAAGAGAGCTTGGGTGATATTTGACAGTTAGAATTAAAACACCAGCAACACATTTTGTCGCAAAGGTTTTTTTGTAATCATGTGCGACGAGGGGTGGTCATGCAGCGGCTGGTTTGTTCCAGCCTGTCCTTGCTCTCCTGCACTATGGCCCATCTCGTCTTCCTCACAGCTGGCCCTGCCGACGAACAGCAAGCACAGGCCCATCCCCGGACGCATGGCTGGGGACACACAGGGGTGGTGGCTACCCACAGGCAACAACTGCCAAAGTTCTCTTCAACCCTCCTAGGCTGAAAATGTCCGTAAGCTTCAACATGCCTCCACACACCATTGCTTTGGGCAGAATTAATGATTTCTCTGACCCCTGCACGTCCCCTGCCAGGCCATTCACTTTTTAGCTCCTCTGAAAACTGTTAAGGTCCAAGTCCTAATACAGATCCACTGTTCACAATACTTATGCTGGTGCTGCTTCCCTAACTGAAACCTAACCAAGAGAGTTATATTTAAATTCTCCCCATTTCCAAAGAATTAGAATACAATACAGTCTGACCAACATTGCCATTTGGACAGATTGGCAGATGCAATATTGTAACGTATCCTATATTTGCTTGTGGTAGTAAGATCTCTTGGTGCAGATTTCCTCCATGTGATATTTCTTACATGCTGTTGTCTATTCGTCTCTTTTATTTATCATGAACAACTATGGCAAAATATAAATTTTTCAAATGTCTCCCTAATATACATGGATGTTATCTGATTCCAGAAACTCTGTATGCTCATCTGGTAAGTTTGTCAGGGAATATCTTATTTAAAAATCCACAGAGCAGGATGGGCATAGTGGCTCATGCCTGTAATCCTAGCACTTTGGGAGGCTGAGGCGGGCAGATCACCTGAGGTCAGGAGTTCAAGACCAGCCTGGCCAACATGGAAAAACCCTGTCTCTACAAAATATACAAAAAGTTAGCCAGGTGTGGTGGCAGATGCCTGTAGTCCCAGCTACTCGGGAGGCTGAGGTAGGAGAATCGCTTAAATCTGGGAGGCGAAGGCTGCAGTGAGCCGAGATCATGCCACTGCACCCCAGCCTGGGTGACAGAGTGAGACTTCGTCTCAAAAAAGAAAAAAAAAAATACAAATCAAAAGAAATTAGGCTCCTGTGAGTAATGACATCACAATAAAATTAAAATATCAACCATAAAAACACCGGTTTACTTCATATAAAAATAAAATAATTATGCCCCCAAAATGACAATTCCTTCAGATAGAATCAATCTTTTATATGCATATTGCCAATCAAAGAAAAATATTTAAATAGGAGTAACCTCTAAAACATCATGTCAAATGGGAACCTAAAATGGAGCAATTTTACTGTGTAGTAAAAAGAAATATAGTTTTACTAATGTCTTCGTGTAAAGACTCTTACCATAGCAATGATCTGTGGTTTTTGCTGCTTGGCCAAATCAATGATATCCACTCCATTATAATAGAGATTTTCCAAACATCCATGAAAATTTCTATGTGGGAATGACACTGATTTTCCAGGTTCTGGAATCCCTCCAAAGCTGATCTTAGAAAGAAAAATGGCATCAATAATATTGTTTAGTGATTTTCTAACAATCTGCTTAATTATGATTAGCATGTATAGCCATAATCATCACACACAGATCAATTTTTCATAACCCTACACACACAAAAATTAAGATATAGATTTAAAGCAAATGTATGTGCATTTGGCTTTTATTTACACTGGAACTTTATTTTTACAAGTTGCTGATCACATCTCGCTTTGATATTCACTGGTTGATGAAAAATACATCTTTATATCATGGTAAAACTTGATCTGTTTAACACTATAAGCAATTATAATATTTTATTTTAGATATGTTTCTGGCACATATTGATATTTGTGCATTCAAATCCATTGCTAATGAAACAATTAATTAGTTTGTTGCTACATTCTCCTCATAAATCTATATTGCTCACAAATACCCTAGAACACAAGGAAGTCATAGCAAACATCCTATATTTGCTTGTGGTAATAAGATTCTTGGTGCAGAATATTTCCTACATACGATGTTCTGTGACTACATAGTTTAGGTAAAAAGATCACCTCCCTCTACAACAATCAATTTACATACTGTGGGAAAGATGAACATACAAGTACTATACGCCGAAAGTTGCTACTATGAGTTAGGCTGTCTTGGGAAATGCTTCACCTGTTCTACGATTTACTGAAAAGGTGGGTTCTTTATAGTGTACTTGCCTTTGGGAGATTAAACCACATATACATAATAAAATCAGCATTAACTGAAACATAACCATCACACCTCATAATCAAGATTCACGAAATTGAATTCTCCCTGTGCGTGGAAATGATGCCTGTGTTCGTCCACTGTAAAGTTGACTTGTTTGCCCAAACGCTGGATGAGCACTGAATGCCAGTGCTGATCATCTAGCAGGCTGCCCAGGGTGAGATTGACCAGGGTGGAAGTGGAAGGCAGTTTAGCTTCACCTTAGAAGAGGAGAAAAATAACAGCACCATTATTGCCAGTTTAAAGAAAAAAAAAGTTTCCCTTCTGTGGACCAGCATCTTTCATAATAATTGCAATCTCCTTCTATGCATTCCATTTCAAACACTAGGATGGATTTCCCTGAAGTTTGAATATAATAATCTCTCAACCTTGTTGTAATTTCCTCCGCTGTTAATTCTTTTTGTCATTATTACCAATTGCATGCTCATTTTCTATGTAAATTTCATCTTTGCTACAACCTCATTGTTTTTACTACCTCAACATTTTTCAATGACCCATCCCTTCCTTTATGATATTAGAAAAGAGCTATACAGTTCTATCAGCACTATGTAAAAAACACTGAAAGGAAGATTTTGTGCAATTTGTAAAATATGAACCATTTTTACATGAAAGCAATATTGGCAAATGTACAAGCCCTTGAATCTGAAAATAAGGCACTTGACTGTTAAAAGATAAGCTATAAAAGCATAAAATTACTTAGGTGATATCTAAATAATCAGATTTTTGAGCACTTCACCAAATAGTTTTTTACCTGAATTAATAAGTAAAAAGAGTCTTCCTCTCCTTAATTGCAGTGTGATGTGATCTCCGTTTGGCCCTTCCCTGTGGAGTAGAATCCCATCACTCTGCACGGTTTTGAATTTCAAAGAAATAATATCTTTTATTGGGCTCAGGGATTTTTGATCAAATCTGTAGAGAAGGGAACTTTTTCCATCAAGATCAACCACTTCTGATCCTAGAAACAAAGATATTAGAAGGCATTCGAAGGATAAATATCTTTTCCATTAAAGCATTTTAAATATATGGAGAAAAAGCAGCATATGGACTCACACACAGGCTACAGATGCTCCTCAACTAATGATGGAGTTATATGCTGAAAAACTTATGTTAAGTTAAAAATATTGTAAGTCTAAAATGCATTTAATACACGTAGCCCACCAAACCTCATAGTTTAGCCTAGCTTATCTTAAATATTCTCAGAACACTTACATTAGCCTATTGTTGAACAAAATCATCTAACACAAAAACCATTTTATAATAGGGTTGAATACCTCATGCAATTTATTGAATACTACCCTGAAAGTGAAAGACGGCATGGCTGGATAGGTACTTGAGGTGTGGTTTCTACTGAATGCATATTGTCTCTGCACTACTGTAAAGTCAAAAATCCATAAGCTGAATCTTTGTAAGTCAGGGACTGTTTTTGTAGTTTAGCTCCTGACAGTCAAGAGTAAGGGAAAATACGACCATCAAAATATCTAATTCCCTATTGACACCTGGGGTTGATTTCATTTTAGTCTTTACTAACCTGTTTACAAAATTCATGATCTAGAAATACATTTTTAAATGTACTCCTAAATTTCTCAAATGTACTCCTAAATGTACTCAAAAAAATAATAATTTTTTTGAGGCGGGGTCTTCTTTGTCACCCAGGCTGGAATGCAGTGGTACTGGCACTGTCTCGGCTCACTGCAGCCTTGACCTCTGAGGCTCAAGCGACCCTCCCACCTCAATCTCCCGAACAGGTGTGCACAAGTGTGCACTACCACGCTCGGCTAATTTTGTTTATTTTTTATGGAGATGAAGTCCTCACTGTGTTGCTCAGGCTGGTCTCGAACTCCTGGGTTTAGGCGATCTGCCTACCTCAGCCTCCCAAAGTGCTGCGATTAAAGGTGTGAGCCACGGTGCCTGGCCATTTTCTCATATTATTAAAGGCTAGTTCTTCTTATTCCGTTAAACAGAGTTATAATTAATATACATTAAATCACTTTGCATATTTCACAATGAATGTTTTTCAATGGAGTTCTTGAAATTCTAAAGTTAATTGTTTTTTTGGCTCCAGAAAAAGTGGTTTTGATATCTCAAAATTCTTTCATCCATACAATATGTTAACGAGGTTTACACACAAATATACACACATAGCATAGACTCAGCAAATGCCACTTTGAGTACCTATGAAACCGACCTTTGTGTTTTGTCTTATTTTATTACATTTGTGGCTAAGTGATAGTATTTAAGGGTAATACTATTTTCTGTCTTCTCAAGGACATTGTTGGAAAGACCCTGACTTAGGGATATTGTAAGGTCTGTTCTGTGGTATTTGTGTCATAACTGTGCCATTGACATGTTTTTTTTCAACTTTCTGACCGTGTCTTATCTACTTATTGTCAAAATCACTCTTATTCAGTTCATCTGAAAAAAGATGTCATGTTATACCAGTAACATAACAATACATCTGTCAAAATCAGTTGCACCTGAACAAGAGACATAAAAAAGAACTCATAACACTTGGAAATCCTGACAGTATTGCCTACAATTCATAAGTCAAAGATTTTTTTAAGGCAATTACCCTTGAGAGCACACTTATGTAATAAATGAAGAGGCTCAAAAAATATAATAAAATATGAAGCTATTTTTCAACTGGTAAGCTGGCTTCTTCCAGTCAACAAAATGACATTCCAGTTTACTCATCTTGTTTCATTTGACAAAATTATTATAGCTCCTTTAAGCCCAAATATGCATTTGATTCAGATTATTCATCATATTTTATGTGAAACGTCTATACATACCACCCTGCAAATTTTTTTCAACTATTTTACGCAGCCATCTTTTGAAGACTCAGAGGTTTTATTTGTTCACATTTTGCTAATGTGCTTATAAAGAATTCATTCACCAAGTGCACATGAATAAAGATTGCATTCTGTAGAAAGAATAATGTTAGCCTAACAGTCCTTCCTTGTTACATAGCTGAATGAATGTGCATGGTAAAAATATAACTGTGTCAAATACAAATAATGCATCCTATGATTATTAGATTACAATAAATTAAGAAAAATTCCAATAAGACAGACTTTAAATGCTGACATATTTGGAGCAATGCAGTTATCTCTGTGTTAATGTATCACTTAAAGGCAACTATGACAGTAATGATTTCATTTTAGATAAAGACTATTTTTGAAATTAGCTACCAAGAGAATTTTTCCCACTAAAGGTTTAGCTTGTGTTACTGTAGCCTACTAGTACTTTTTTCTTTTTCACTACTGTTATTATTACATTATAATAATGATATTTATCTTCTGTGGCACCTAAAGCTTTTGTGCCTGGAATATTTCAATCAGCAAAATGGCATAGAGAAAAACATATAAAACCATTGATGCCTAAAGCAATTGCATACTCTTAAACCAAAGCCACTTGTCATTTTCTGTCATTCTTACTGTCTATTAGCTTCACAGGTACACAACGATGCAATTCTATGAATTCATTCAATAAAACTTTATTTGACCCATCACGTTTGAGTCAGTGTGCCAGATTCTGGGATTAAAAAAAAAAAAAATCAACACAAATATGGCCCCTGTCCTCATGGTGCTTCCATTTAGTGAAGACAGACAATATTTATCAAGTAAACAACAAGGTTCACAAAAGCATTATAGGTTGTAACAGGCATTCTGATCAAGAGTAACAGAAGGCTGGAGTCACTTAAGGTAGTTGATAAAGGGCTCTCTCAGTTCTCAGGTCTAGAAACACGAGGTAAAGGGAGATCTTAATCAGTAATCTTGCCACTCTCTACAGTCTTCAAGTCCTACAACTTGTCCCCATAAACTAGGATTACTCTTGGAACATTTAATTTCAAAAGGCCTAGACATTTTCCCATCGCTGTCCCATTCACTGTCATAAAAGAAAGCTCTGAGGATAGCTGAGAAACTACAGTGCCAGGAAATAATTTAGTACTCAGAGTAGGAGTGAGGTTGGCTCACCTTGAAAAAGGGGACCTGAAAGGAACAAAGTACAGAAAGAGGGAAATCAACAAACCAGCTACAGTCACATCACAGATTTCCCATGCAGGTAAACAATACCCTTCAGAGAAAAAAAGCTAAGTATAATTCACAACGCGCGTACATTATCAGTATCGGAAAACTTCAAAGGATACACACATAATATATAGAAATAGATTCTCACAAAATGAAAAAAAAAATTCTGGATGATTTTTAACAGTATTATTTTAGATATAACACTCATAGTAGGTCACTTTTTTCTAAGCTATTTTTATAAAAAGTTATTTGCACAAAGACATTTGATATACTTTAAAAAATCATCTTAAACAATTACAAAATACTGAGTTATGTGGCATAAAGTTAATCATATAAAAACCTGAAACAATTAATCTTTTGAGAGAGAGAGAGGGAGCATTTGAATCCTATATATTTTGGACAGCACCCAGCTGTCCAAAAATGCTGGTGACAGAGACAGGAATATATATTCTCTTGAAAGTGATCTTACCACTGTTAAGAAAAACTAGAAAAAAATGGAAATAAAGCAAAGAAATACTTCACATCTCCTCAGTGTCATATTTTTTTATTTTTTTTAAATATTTACCCGTAAACAGGTAAGGATTATTTAATTCTAGGTGAATTAATAAATTTTGATTTTACAATTTATTGCAGAATAATAATTAAGGCCAGATTCTATAAATTGACACATCATCTGTAGATTTTTGCTCAGTAGAGATGCAAATGGCTTCTGTCTGGTAGAATCGCCAAAGGTTATGGATTTATTGTCCTGTTGGATATTAACTTCTTATGTATCTACCTAGTAATATTATTCCAACATGCTTTCCTGGATTCCTATATATATACTCAATCTCTTGAATTTTCTTTGAAACTAGCTTTACCATCCTTCTGCTTCCTTCATTAATGAATCAAATACTTCTTTATGTATATTCTGAATTTGAATGAAAATTATGTTTTTATGTTTTTGAAAATTTACTTTAACATTGTTAACTGAAAAAATACATTTGGACTTCACATCAATGACTAAGAAAGCAACATATCAAATCTTAGCCATCACCAGAATTTATTTTCACTATCCCACAAAGATTCTCAGATATCTGAGCTCTTAAAAAAGCAACAGCAATGCAAACAGATACAAAAATAAAAAATTTCAGGGTGATTCATAGCAATATGTATTTGTATTGTACTAATCTATAAAAGATCTAATATGAGTAAATAGAATTACCAAAATTAGTACAAATCAATATTTACTTCAGAAACACTAAACTAAGCATCCAAAATAAAATTAATATTTAAATTGACAATCAATATCATATTTATTCCTATCTTTTGTAAATACCTTTGGGAAAATTTTTAATATTTATTTATTTATTTATTGACAGGATCTCCCTCTGTCACCTAGGCTGGAGTGCAATGGCATAATCTCAGCTCACTGCAGCCATGATCTCCTAGAGTCAAGTGAACCTCCAACTTCAGCCTCAGCCTTCCAAGGAGTTGAGACTACAGGAATTTGCCACCATGCCCAGCTAATTTTTCTGTATTTTTGGCAGAAATGGGGTTTCTCCATGTTGCCCAAGCTAGGAAAATAATCTTTTGTACGCAGTTGAGTTGTATAAATAGGAAAAGTATAGGTATTAGAAAACTGTCCATAGGAAAAATGTGAAATCTGAACTTAACAAAATTTGTAACAGCAAAAGACCTACAGTCTAAAGATGTAAAAGGAGACTTGTTGCTTGATTGAAAGCAATAAGAAATATTTTTCTAACAGTGAATTTGTTCATTAGTATTCTTATTAACTGAGGTTTTATATGTTTACATATATATTATACATATTTTACATTCCATATTTTTAATGATTGGGTTATTATCAAGATTAATAATGAGGCTCTGTCATATACTGGCTCGCTATGGGCAGGGTATGTATTCTAGTTTTTTGACAACAGTTGCA